ACCAGCTCTAGAGATACCACTGCATTTATGATGAATAAAATAGTAACCAAAATGGCTAAGAATGAAATGCTGAATGCTGGTGAGATGATGACAAAAATAACAGCGAGTAGGAGTGGTGGCTGGGTGGGAGACCTCCCATCATCCATGCAGGAGACCCAGGTTTGATGACTAACCTGCGACTTCAGGTGAAGCCACGTGAGTGGAGGCTTGCCTGTTGCTGTGATCTTGAACAGGTATTAGTGGAGCTTCCAGACTAAGACAAATTAGGAAGAAAGGCTTGGCTGTTTACTTCCAAAATGAAAATGATTGTTACAGGCTGATGGGACGATGAATGTAATTGTTGCTTACTTCTTTGCAACATTCCTCTTACAGTCTATAAAATGAAAGGAAAAAATGAATCGTGTGGGCGTCCCTTGATGGTCATATATTAAGGAGAACACTGCAGATATCTACACCATATTGCACTTCCTTGGTTCATCATCTCAGCATGTATTTTGTCCCTTTCCAGGGATTTACACATGCGCACACATACATACGCACATAAAACTCTTGTGACCATGGTTATTCTTTGAAACACTAAACCAAGTTTGTATTGTTCCCTAGCAGCATCTCCTGTTTGCACTAAGCCGTGAGTTATGAATTCTTCCTGTTGTGGACTCTGAGAAAGATAGACTCAACAGCTCCTTTTTTTTTTTTTTTCCTGCTTGCAGAGTGAATGATAGTCCTCTGTTTCCAAGTGTATTCTGCTTCCAAGTTCTTGCCCTCTTTGTAATGTACAAATGACAGGTCAATTTTTTTCTATAGGGGCCCCTGTTATTCTTAGTCAGAAAAATGCTTTGCCCTTTGACCAAAGAATGTGCCAGAGTTAGGACTATAGCGTGACTTTCCATAAAAGGAAATATTTTCCAGGAGGTTAAGGCTTTAGCAGTTATAATAATCCAGTATAATTAGAAAACACTTTCCTGCTTCGAGAAAGAAGCCACAAGCTTTATGTTGCATTCATTTATCTTGTAGGTGTGCATAAATCATCTTTGTAAAATGGAAGTTTAATTGAGATTTAAAAACATTCTGCATTAAAGTTTGAAAACCAACATGAAAGAAAACACTCAGGATTTATCTCAAACTATAAGAACTGAAGGGAAAAAAACAAACAAGCCTGCAATTGCATTATTGATGGGTCCTATTGACAAAGTGTTGAAAAATACTCACTGCCATTGGGTCAATCAATGCTGACTCAAAGTTACCCCTCTGGGTTTCCGAGACTAACTGTATATGAGTATAGAAATAGAAAGGCCCATCTTTTTCCCACTGAACAATACAGGAAGGAGTAAAAGAAGATAGAAGGAATACATAGTCTCAGTACCAAAAAGAATTGACTTGTTCAGCCATATTGAAATTATCAAGAATTGATGGTATTGGAGGAAAAGGAAAAAGAAAGTGGTGTTGTACAAGGAAGAAGTAGTCCAAGGTGCACTGCGGAAACCACAGAAGTTGACAGAATAGCGATTTAAATGTTTTAGCAAACTGATACAGTGCTGGCCAAGAAATTTGGAAAACAGCTGCCTGACCAATAGTATAGAAGAGATCCATATTTTTGCCCAAAGATAGATGATCTTGCAGAATACAGAAATTATTAAACATATATTATTAATATCACATGCAGGTAATATTTTCCTAAAGGTGATTCAAAAGCAGTCGCAGCAGTGCATATACAGGAAGCCATCAGAAATTCAAACTGGATTCAGAAGAGCATTGGAATGAAAAATATCATAGCTGATGGCAGACAAATCTTGGCTAAGAACAAAGAATACCAGAAAGATGCATACTTGTGTTGCATTGTCCGTATAAAGGCATCCAGCTGCTTGGATCAAAACAGATTTTGGATAACCTTGTGAAGAATGGGAATTTCAGAATGCTTAATTGTGTTCATGTGGAACATGTACCTAGACCAAGAGGCAGTCCTTTGAACAGAAAAAAAAATATTTTCTTTACTTTAATATCATAAAGATGTGAACCACAGTTGAATACTTTCATCATACTTATTTAATCTGTCTGCTGAGCAAATAATATGAGGAAATGCATTTCCTCATTCCCCCATGATGGAATTTTTTTCAAGACTGTGTATTTAATTAATTTATTTATTTATTTTTACAAAACAACATTGTCACCTTCAAAGTACTCTCCATTATACTTAGTACATTTGTCAAATCTGAGATTTCATTCAAATCCAAACACTTTTCAAACTCATCGGTTTGAATGGCTGATAGCACCTCCCTCATTTTTTTTCATCACCTCTTCCATGTCATCAAATCACTGTCCTTTAATGCCCCTCTTCATTTGGGGAATCAGAAAGAAGTCTCACAGAACGGAGTCAAGTGAGTCAGGTGCATGGGGCAAGAGAGGCATACTTTTTTTTTTTGCCCCAAACTGGCGCACTGAGATGGCTGCATGAGCAGCTGTATTGTCATAGTGGCAAAACCAGCCCCATCTGCCACAAAGCAGGCCTTTTTTGTTGCACACTGTTACACAATCTTTTCAGAACCTCTCAATAGAAAGCTTGATGAACAGTCTAACCTGGGGGAATGAACTCCAAATGCACTACAAGTCAACATGTTCGTCCATTTGGGAAGTTGACAGATGTCCAGAACGAGGCTTGTCATCAATTGGCATTTTACCTTTTTTGAAATGGGAAAACCACCTGTACACCTGCCTTTTTCCCATAGCACTGTCCTTGTCAGCTGTGTTCAATATCACAACAGTTTCTGAGGCATTTTTCCTGAGCAGGAAACAAAATTTCACAGCCGTACACAGTTCTCTTAAGCCAACATAAGGTTGGAACAAAACTGCTTTTATTAAATAAAAAAAAATCACTGTGACCAGAGAGAACCTTCCCAGGAGATGCCACTGTGTGTACTAACTCAGAGCGGGTTGGTCAACGATCACCTAGGGGGGAAATTGTGTACTACAAAAGCTCTGCTCCACCCAGCACAATTCTGAGTTTTTTTGATACCCCCATGTATTGCACAGGGCAGATCTGCTGCGTGAAACCTTTATAGTGTTAAAAATCCGAGATGTCTCTTTGAAGACTAAGGTAAACCTGGCTGAACCCATGGTATTTCTGTCACCTCATATACATGCAGAGACTGAACTATTAAATAGGAAAACTGAAGTATGGATACCCTGGAGTTATGGTATAGGCGAAGTGTGTGGAACAAACCACGGGCTTGCAGGAGAAAGAACAATCTGTCTTGGGAAACACAACTAGAATGCTCCTTAGAAGCAAAGATAGGGAGACTTCATCTTCCTTATTTGGACACGTCACCGGAAGGTGCCAGTCCCTAGAGAAGGAGAGAATGCTCGGCAAAGTAGAGCCAACAAAAAGGAGACCCTCACAATGGTGAATTGTCCCAGTGGCTGCAACAGGGAGCTCCAGCATCGCAAAGGTTGTGAGGTTGGTGCAGGCCTGGGCTGTGTTTTGTCTTGTTGTACATAGGATCCCTGTGACATGGAACTGACCCAATGGCCCCTAACGAGAGCGACAAACATTTAGGAGGGTCAGTTAGAAAGGAGGGTGATAAATCAAGGGATAGTGAGGATAGATTATGTGTGATCTGTCCCCAAGTTTATAACAACGTCTTGAAGTGTTCCTTCACAGATGCACAGACATTTGATAGAGGGATAAAATGGCTGTGAGAGTTTAAATATTGGTATGAGATGGCCCTGGGAGTGTAGTGGTTACGCCTTGGCTTGCTAAACAGCAAGGTCGGCAGTTTGAAACCACAAGCTCCTCTGAGGGAGAAAGACAAGGGTTTCTACTCCCGTAAAAGGTTACAGTCTAGGAAACTCAGAGCGGCAGTTCTCCCTGCCCTCCGGGGTTGCTGTGAGCCAGGAGAGACTGGGTGGCAGTGAGCATCCTCCGACAGCTGCAGGCAACTCTCTTAACCTCTCCCTGCCCTGTCTTTTTTATGTGTGAACTGTAAAACACTAATAGTACTGACTTAGTATCATTTTGTGAGAATTAAGTGAGTTAATGAATGCAGAGTTCCTGGCAGCACTAAGAGATATTACTGTTATTAGCAGCATGCAGATTTTGAGCCTGAGAACTCAAATGTAAGAAAAGGGTGCCCTCCTGGTGCCACCTTGAAAACTTAGACATCTTTCCTAAATGTCAGTGAATTGAGCAACTTTACCACCCTTAGCACAAAGAAGAAAACTGTCTAATAGTGGAGAATTTGAGGAAATAGTTTTTCATGAAATTCTAGTTGACATGAGCTTGACTCATGTCAAAGCATGGTTGACCAGCGTGTCTTTCCCAGGCTCCTGGGCCCTTCCAGTGGCTTACTGTTGTCTAGAGAGACACACAGCCATCTTTTGGAAATGGGAAGGTATTCTTGTCCAATAGCTCTCATCTCTTCCCCCAAAGTCATGATGATAATGACAGCCACAAATCTCAATGCTTGGTTTTAATTATTTTTACAATGAATCTAGAACAAGAAGCCAATACCATTTTTACTTTTCACCTTTGTGACCAACATGTGTACATGAATTAATTGTTTCAGGTTTTGTTCCAAAATTTTGATTTGGAAATGTTCATTGGATTAAGTCTCAAGTAAAAACTAATGATTTGATCTTTAGTTTCCTGAGCGCATAATTACTTAGAAGTGTTCTATCAAAGGAGCCTTATATTTTCAGTTCTTCACTCATTCAACAAAAATTTCCTTGATGCCTTCATTGTATCCAGCCTTATGCTGGATAATTACTACCTTCCAGTGGTAAGTTGCTTCAGCTTTCTTTATGGACTGGACAAAGGTAAATAATTCTGTTGTATGATTTGTACATAGATATAGAATTTTGGACCATATAAACTAATTGGTGTTTATACGTTGACTCATTTTCCACCTACTTTTAAAGCATTATTACATAGTTGTCCCTGGTAATGAGGTATACCTAATGTATTGGTTTTTGTCTTTTATTTAGTACTGTCTAATTTTTATTTTAAGGGTGAGCCTGGACTTCCTGGAGCAGTAGGACAAAGCGGAACGCCAGGATCAAGGGTTAGTTAAATAAAACCAACCAGAGTCATTTGAGATATGATTTTCCATGAAATTGTAAACTATTACAATTTTTGAACCCCACTGGTTGTACTTGGGTGGACATTTTTTTATTAATACTGTCATAAGCTATAGTCAGCACTTTGTGATTAGTGACTAAACTGCATTTGTGATTCTCAGCATGAAATATGCCAGACCCCTTCATTCCCCACACCTCACCCACCCCATCCCCCCAAAAAAATCAAATGTGACCAGAATGTATAAAATCTTTATTTTGGAACACTTAAATAACTAGAAAGCACTCGTTTCTGGTATGTTCCTTGTCATTGCACTACTTCATGGGCATATAAAGACATGAACTATGCCCATGTGACCTAAAAATCACATCCTACATCCAACACTGGCTAAAGATGGTATCCCCTGTCCCACTGTGGACTGTCCTCAATATTTGGCACCCTGCAGTGCTTACACAACAGAGTTCATCGTGGGAGGTGCAGAATAAAGATGTAGCATGCATAACATTTACATATGGATGTAGTCTGGATTACCAAATCAGGAAAAGATGCAGAGAGGATGATCTGGGGAATGCTTGCAAGTTTTCCTGTCTTTTCTTTTTTCGAAGAACAAATTAATCCGTTCAGTAAAAAAGGATTGGTGACAGTTTTGTTTAAACTGTCAGACAAACAGGCAGACAAATCTCAAATCCTTTGATGAGTGGACATCCCTTGAAGTACAAAACTCACGTCTAATCCCATCAGCTGTGCTGCGGTGTATCTGTTCACACAGGTGCCTGTCAGCTGATTTTCCAGATCACGTTGCAATCGACAGGAGCCTAGGACAGACCTCAACTTTACAGGCCCCATCATTTGTCCTGCACGAGGAGAAAGAAAAGACTCCTTTGGGAGTACAGTCATTTTCCTGTCGTCTTCTCTTTCTTGCTCCATGTTAACATGTCAAATGATAGGAGTTAATGCTTACTGCATGTTCATGATGCTATTCTTGGATTGCCTAGCAACCGTCAGGGTGGTGGTGCAACAGTGAAGATGGCCAGAAATTCAGAAAGTCAAAGGGTCAAGCTGAGCTTCAGGAAAAGCAAAGAAATTTGCCCTCAAATTGACTTCTTTGAGAGGTTTTTAATTTTAAAAGAAAAATAGTAAAAAGTAGTCTGATCTCATGGCAACACCCACTCAAGCTTTTTGGAAGGGAAATGTTATTATCATGTGTCAAACACATACACGCTCATTGCCATAAAGTCAATTTTGACTCATAGCACACGGTAGAACTGCTCCTGTGGGTTTCTGTGCCTGTAACTTTTACTGGAGTAGAAAACCTCATATCTCTCCTATGGAGCAGCTTGTGGTTTCGAACTGCTGACCTGTGGTTAGCAGCCTAGTACAGAACCCATTATGCCACTAGGGCTCCCTATTAATTATAAGGTGTAGTGTATACCTTAGAAAAATTTTAGTCCTTATGTCATTTGAATAAGGACATCGCTCCTAAACTCACTTAGATTCTGTCCTAATCTAGTCTCTGACCGGAAGATGCCAATGCCTCCTAAAATATGCCTGACCTGGGCCACCTGGAATACCAGCAAGCTGAAGCGTGTTCCCGTTACTGGGAAAGAAGTATCATCCAGGGCTAAGTGTCTATGGTCATGTTAGGGGAGGAGAGTGGAAACACTGGAAGTCTGGACCCTTAAAATGGCCCAGGCACCCAGGGGTGCTTAGAACAAAAGGCTTTGTGGAAGAAATGTGCTTGTCCACCTTCATTATTTTAATTGGGGCAGAGTCAAAAGGAATATGCTAGTTTAGACCCTTGCAGACGATGTATCACCACGTCACTGTACTTGGGTCCTTTCTGGTTTCTGAATCGGAATCTTAAAATATACTTCTGTAGTCTTCGAAACACAAAGGTTTAAGATTATTCTGTTTGATGTGAATATTGATACCCAGTTCTCCAGGAAATCGTCTTTTTCAGTGTATTCACGTGGCCGCCATGTATTGCCACAGGAGAGCGTTCCCCCCCAGTGTCCCGAGTCTGTTGCAGTATGATTTTGTTCGGTGGCCTTTTGTTCTTCACTGTGTAACCTGTCATCCAATCTCTGTTAATTTACCCAGGGAGAACCTGGAGAACGAGGAGAAAAGGTGAGAAGGATTTTGCTTATATTTTTTTCTCTCCCCCTCCCTGGTCCTCCACTACTCCCCTCAACTTCGGCGGATGGGAAAAGTGTGAATGCAAGTGCTTAGAGATGCGGAGAGAAAGGGAGCAAACTTAAACATTCGCAGTTGGGCTTTTGAATCACTTTCCAAAAAGCAACCCACCTTAGGCCTGCAAATATGCTGTACCAACTACTCACTAAGGCCGTCCCATGCCATTGCAACGTCTTCTGCAGAATCCCCATCTCTTCCTGCTGCTTCCATGGCACTGGGTTAAGAGGATCCAGATGGTGTGCCTTCTGCAATGCACTGAAAGTTGTCCCACAAGGAATCCCCATAGACCTGACACGTGAACAAAAGGAGACAGGGCGTTCTGCATGTTCACTTGTGCTTAGAATCCCATCCGCACCAGTGTGGGGTCTGTCCTGGTTTGTTTTCGGTTCCCAGGGTGCGTCACTGTGTTTATTTTTCTAGTTCTTGGGGATATTTCCTTGAATCATGCTTGCGACACGTGTTCTCTCTGAAGGAAACTACCAATCTACTACACATTCCTTCTGGCAAATCCACAGGATAACTGTTAATCCTCTAAGAAGCTCATCGATAGGCCAAGCAGACTTCTTGACCCAGTTGAACTCTTTTTCAGCATGACAAAGCAAAAACAAAATCAAACAAAAACACATCTATTTAAATGGGAAGAGCACAAAAATGAACGCATTTCGCCATCTCCTGAGGGGATGGCTCAGGCTAACTTTTCGCTTCACAACCACTCTGAGCCAGTTTTCCTGATAAGGTTGGTTTTGTTTTCAATAAAGGGATTTTCAAGTCCCTTTATTTCAAGTCCCCCCAAATTTGCAGCTTACTAACAGGCTATCTCTCAAAGATCTGCTATCCCTGATGATCAGCACATTTATTTGACATGCAGCCAATTCATGGTAATTAAGTTGACATTAATTAGACACCAGAAGAGTCTTGTGTGTAGAAAATAAGGAGCGAAGCCAGCAGTGGTTTGAGGTTTCATCAGATAAGGTGTTGCAGGCCCACCGCGGCTGCTGCCGGGCCACATCCATCCGTCACCACAGTCAAATGCCTGAGCTGGTTCACTTCATGCTCTTTGAAACAATAAGCGAAAACGGGGAGCGGGGCAGGGGGAAGGCCTCTCTTCCCCATCTGCCCTTTCCCAAGGAAATCATTATCAATCATTTCTCTTTCTTTAGGAACCTTTTCATCTTCTAGAAAAGTGACCTCTTAGGAGGCTAGGGAAAAGGGCATGCCAGCCTATGGAATGTATGAACAATATTGCATTGTTACTGCTAATGACTACCATTGTTTAAGGGCTCATTATGGATCAGCTACTGCCCCAGTTACTTGACACTTGATGTTTAAAGAGTTTAATTTGGCCCAGTCGGTGCTAGAGCTGAATTCGGGACTCGGGTCTCTCTGACTTCAAAGCCCATGCAATCTCCACTATGTTTCAGGAAGTCTATCTACCTATCATTTATTACTGCATTATTTTGTGTACAGAAAGAAGAGTTCAATGAAGAAATCAGAATGTTATTGTTGCTAGGTGCCGTCAAGTTGGTGGTGACTCATGGCTGCTCTATGCAGGGCACAACACTACACTGCTGTGTCCCCCATCCTCACAATTGTTGAGTATGAGCCCAGTGTTGCAGCCTCTGAGTCAGTCCATCTCCTTGAGGGTCTTCCTCTGTTTCACTGCCCCTCACTTGACCAAGCATGATGTCCTTCTCCAGGGACTAGTCTCTCCTGATAACATGTCCAAAGTACGCAAGTCATGACCTTAACCAGCCTCCCAGGGAACATTCTGGATATACTTCTTCCAAGACTGGTTTATTTGTTCTTCTACAGTCCATGGTATTTTAAACACTCTTTACCAGAATCATAATTCAAATGCATCCATTCTTCTTTGGTCTTCTTTATTCAATGTGCAGTTTTCCAAGAAAGCTTTCAGACTAAGAACAGAATATGAAGAAAGAATAAGTTTCCCAGTTCTGAGTGATTAGCCACTGAGAGGAAATTAAAAACTTACAAACGACACATACACTTCCCAAATCCATTTTCCTATGATTAAAAAAAAGTAAGGTTTTCTAAGAACTATTTATTTCCCAGGTGAAAATCACTCAAGGTCAGAGAAGTCAGTGCTCATCTTCAGGTTCTGAGTAGAGTATGGTGGTCCACCGGAAAGCGAGACACTCAGGGAGATGCACTGGCACGGTGGTTGCAACAATGGGCTCCCACATAGCAACGAATGTGAGGCTGGAGCAGGACCAAGCAACCCTTTGTTCTGTGGGCTATGGCGTCACAGAGAGCAGACTTGAGAGACCTTGCAACAACATCGTGCGCTTTAGGAGCCCAGAAGTTGACAATGGGCTTGGAGCAAGGGTGGGATTCATGGGAAGGGGAGAGAGAGGGCAGGGTCTGGTTGGCAGGAATTGCACAAGAAAGGATGCACATGGGTGTCAAGTGTAAGTCTTTGTTAGAGGGAAGGCCTGACCGGAAGAGAAAAGAGAGGGGCTTAAGGGGAATTTAAGTCAGAATAAGACATTACAAGGCAGATGGAAAAATTACTGCTTTCTGTTAATACTATGGAAGGGATTAAAATTGTTCTCCAATGCCCATTGTTATCATTTGATACCAGCCTACTTAAAAGTACATTATCTCCTGTAGAATATTGACTAGATATTTTAATAGGTGGTGTTTTTAAAAATGCAGTTTATGAGAAAACTTAACAAAAAATACTCTTGGCTTAATGTCACCAGCATATTTGACATGTGTGGATTTGGTTTTGTTTGTCTCTCCTCAGGGAGATGCTGGAGAAAATGGCCCCAAAGGTGACACGGGCGCAAAGGTACAATGTTTGTGAATTATGAAATGTCTTAGGTGGGATCAAGAAAGATAATCACATAGGGCTGGGAAGGGGAAGTTCCCAGGAGGTCTGTGAGTGTGGGAAGCTTCATAAGACAAGGTCAGAGATGGTTCTCCAGGATTAGAAAACACTGAAATATTTGATTATCCCACCAGAATCTAGCTAAAAATTTAAGTATTTTGAAAGTAAAATGATATGTCTCAAATGATGGAAATTGCATAGCTAAGTTTCCAGTATTAGGCTTTAAGGAACAACAGCATAAATTCATAGCCAAGGGGACTCAAACTTCATGCCCGGGGATATGAAAACATAGGTCCTGAGGGATCCATGTGCCCGGTTCTAGAAGAAGAGAACGTGCCAGAGATTGGGACAAAGGTTTTGAGAGTTGATTCTTTCACTCGCTACCACCCTGAGACCAGAAGTAGCTGGGTCCTGGGCGCCACTGCTGGCCACTTTGAGAAGGACCACAATAAAGGACTCTGGATCAAGTACAAGAAAAATGTGGAACAAAACCTGAAATTTTTATTCCAGGCTTACTGCTCTGATAGAGACTGGTGGAACTCCCAAGACTGTGGTCTTAGTCACCCTTCAGGCCTGGAAGCGAATTCACCTCTGTGGCTCAAGTTTTAGGCAAACAAGCAATAGGGAAGTCTACGCAGCAAACTGTAACACTAGGGAAGTATGCATTCCTCAGAATAATCAATCATTTGAGATCAAGTGGGTTGCATTTGCCCAAGACCGAAGTTCTGAAGATAAGAAGGGGTGGGAAGGAGGAGGAATAGAAGTGGAAAATGAGGGAAATGGGGGATAGATGGTGTTTCATTATGGGGATCGCAATCAATGACATGAAACAAAATGTGTGTGATATTGTTGAATGGAAAACTGATTTGTTCTGAAAACCTTCCCCCAATTAGCAGTAAAAAATTAGGGAAAAAATGGAAAGGTGGATGCCAAATTAATTGTATTTACTCTAATTATACAACTATAATTAGAAACTTTCGTGCCATTTAAAAATTGACCTCAACTTGAAATCCAATGATTGAATAGATACTTGGTCAGCAGGGGCCTCTGTATTTTTCAAACCATCACTAAGATTTTGTTAGTATAATTACTTATAAGCAGTCATCTTGTGGCTGGTATTTGTACTCACTGCCCCCTCCCTTCCCCCTCAATGTATCATTGTTGCTACCTTCTGCTTGGACTTATATATGACCCAAATCACTGACATACTGTGGACACTTGCTGTGTGTTAGGAATTAAAATCTTTTAAAATGCTGAAAATATAATAGGATTTTAGATGATATCAAGCAAAGTAGTTGAGTGGTTAAAAAAAGAAGAATGAAACTATTCTTGGCATGAGCATAAGGCTGTTCCATTCTGAAAATTACTGTAGTACAGATGGATAATGATTGGTCATAAAAGCCTATCTATAAACAAAATGAACTTTATCTTTCTCATTCTTATAAATATTAAAATAAACATGGCATGAGTGGTAAGAATGGATTAATGTCAGTAAGTAGCAGTTGTGTTTATATTCAGGGAGTAGTCCTGTTCTAGAAATTCAGTGGAACTCAGTTTTTTGTTGATTAGTGTTTCTCAGCCTCAGTGCTATTGGCATTTCGGGTTGGATACCGGTTTGTTGTGGAGACACATCTCTGCACTGCAGGGTGTGTGCCAGCATTCTTGGCTGCTAGCCGCCAATGCCCGCAGCAGCCCCTGTCCCCCAGGTCACGACAGTCAAAGATGTCTCCAGACATTACCAAATATCCCTTTCTGGGGAAAATTGGTGCATTGGATAACCACTGGTGTTGGCCCATCTTATTTTGCTCTCAAGTGTATCGCACCATAATCCAATGTGGCCCGAAAATGTTCAATACTAATGAGAGCTGTGATACTACCCTATTCTTGAAATCACATTTTGAAACCCTATGTATAAAACTAAAAACAGGCCACCTATTATTCTGTTGATGTTTCAGAGACAGCAAACATTTTGGTAAAAGACTGGAGAATGAATATTATAGGTTTGGTGTGCCATGTGGTCTCAGTCGCAGTACTCCACTTGGCCGTCCAAGTAAGAAAACATTAACAAAGGAGCCTGGCTGTGCTCCAAGAAACCTCATTTGCAGATGCTGAGATTTTAATGTCATGTGTTTTTCACCTGCCATGAGATAATACCATTTTTTTAGCCATATTACAATACAGAATCCCTCTCTGACTCATTAGCCATACAAAAACAGGTGGAATTGACCCATGGGCCTGAGTTGCCAGCTTCTGCCTACAGAAAGCACTGTGAGAACAATTCCTTATCGTGAAAATAATTTATGCCAAGCACTCTTGGGTAAGCGTTGGACTGCGAACCAAAAGGTCAGTGTTTCAAACCCTCAGCTGCTTCTCAGGAGAAAGTCGAAGCCATCGATTCCCATAGAGATGTGCAGTCTTGGAAACCATACCTAGGGTCGCTATGAGTTAGAGTCAACTCAGGGACAATGGGGTTGATTATGTGAATCTCTGTAGATAATTTAGGAGATGTATTTTAAAGCTATGTTTTTTGGAACATAGGAAATCATTGTTTCTTTGAAGACACATGTCTTAATTTTCCAGTAGTAAAGTAATATTTTTCTTTTAACAGACTAAATATATCTCAGAGGAATACTGTGCTGATGTTTATATATATAATGCAAATCATTTGCCATATTGACTCACACATAGTAAACTCTCAGTAAATGTCAACTTTTCTTACCACATGGATATTAAAATCAACTAGTTTGGTTGTTACTCCTTCTGAACAAAAAGTTTTATTAGTTGGCCAAAATTAAGCATAAGGCATGCTTCAGTTAAAACGGAAATCATTTCTATAAACTTTCAAGGGGTCTAAACAGGATGTTGTAAATAGGAATCTGTAACGCATAATATGTAACCTGACCCATAGCATTCATCCCCGAAAAAGCTGTAATTGGAATATAATTTTTTATGTATTTTTTAAACATTTCCTGCTTCTGTCAGATAATTTGTTTCCAGCATGTTGGAAACACTCTTTGCATGGCCTTTGTGTTCAGTATGTGAAACTCATTCATCATTTACCAAGTTCGGGATGTAGGGAAAAATGCTTCTTTTCTGCCATTGATGTAGTAAATTACGTCATTGACTGATTCGCTTTAACAGGATTTTTTTTCTTTTCATCCAACTCAGTGCCTTTGGATGGTAAAACAATCTAACCCTTCCCAGACTGGTCCTCTGGAAATGCTGGGGAACCATAAAACCACTAGGCTGGCTTTTCTTTGTGGCGAGCCACTGTATTCTGGATTTAAGAATGACCTGCCAGAGATGGATTTTAATCTGTGTCGGGTTCTTGTTGAACGATTATTGTCTCATCTTTGGAGTATTAGTCCCTCCAATAAGAAATATGTAGAAATGAATTTTTCTTTAACCCCCACTGTAAAATAGATGTTAGTCCAGCAGACCGAATGGTTAGCAGGTGATTCAGGAATTTCCCTCCAGTCTCTTGCTTTACCTCTGTCCTCATTTTCTTTCTTCCTCCTGTCCACTTTACTTACAAACACACTTCCTTCTTACTTTACATTCGACATGGCTTCTCTGATGGCATTTGGTTTCCATCCCCTGAGCCTTTTCATAACCAGATCCAGATTTGGAGACACCAACCCAACTATCTTTAGATCAAAGCTTATTCCCACCCCAGTCAGTGTTGGACATTCTCTGACTTACCATGCTCTTTCCTTACCTAATAACACTCTTGCCCTCTGCCTTCTTTCCCCAACTCCGTATCTCCACCTAGTCACTTTCCAACCTTCCCTGAAACTTTTACCTGTGAGTTATTTCCTTGGGGTGGTCTTTCAGTCTCCTAGAGATGGAGTAAGTCCCCTGTAATATCCCACCGCCAATAGCATTCTTTACACTCTCATGCCCCTTCCCATAGTTGGTTGTAATTTCCAGTGTAATTGAGCCCCCAGCTCGCTGGGGGGGGGGTGTGAAGAAAGAAAGAAAGAAAGAAAGGAAAAGGTACATGAACAAACACAAACAAACAAACAAAATGATCCAGTGTCCGTATGCTCTCACTGCCATCCAGTTGATCCTGCCTCCTAGCACCCCAGAGGACAGGTGCAGCTGCCCTGTGGGAGTGTGAGACTGTGACTGAGCAGGACAGGGCAGCCTCTTCGCCTCCCTCAGAGCGCTGATGGTTTCCAACTGCACAACTTGCAGCGAGCAGCCCGCCATGGAACCACTGTCACCAGGGCTCCTTCCTATGCTGCTACACTGCTGTGTTTTCAGCCCCAAACTCAGTTTCTGGTATGTAGCTGGATCATAAGAAATAGATTGTGAGTGGAAAAAAAACTTTTTTTCTTTGAACTGCGTCCTATGTTTTTGGAGTGGCCGGACATCTTCCTGTAACCGCACTTTACATACAGCGTGGGTGAGAACAAGTCCTGTCATGTTGAGTGCTTGCTCTGCCCTGGGCCCAGAGTCATTTGCTTTCATTGTGTCTCTAAGGTTCACAACGGTTCTCAGAGGTGGACACTAGTATGGAGAGGCTTAAAAACCGGCCCCATTGGAACATGGTGGCCCTAAGGCCAGAGCCTATGCAATTAACCACGCAGCCTGTCACGCGGCCAGGGTTCCTACACCCAACCACCATTTACCGGTGGCATCTGACAGTTTACTCCTTTCGAGTCTAGTGCATGCACTTTATGGTACTAATGGCTGTGAGAAGAAAGGGCAGACTTAGGATTATATGTTCAGTAGGGAGGTGCGGCTGAGCCAGCTCCAGCTCCTGGTGACCTTATGTCCCACGGAAGGAAAAGTGAAGTTGTCCAGGCCGCCCCAGCTCCGTGACTGTTGCAATGTTGGGGCCCATTGTCTTGGCGATTGTGTCCGTCCTTTTCATTGAGGGGTTCCCTTGGTTTTGTCGACACTTTCTCGAGCATACTGCCTTTTCCCAGGGATTCGTGTTTCCTGATGATACAAGC